AAGTCTCTTGCTCGAAACATGCTGTTTCCATCATCTTAAAATATCATCTCGGGAATTCGGCTAGTGATTCAAACAAGATGCGCTTTGAAATTTGAGGCTCTTATGGCCAAGTTGTTGTGGTTGATGAATCTTCTCTCCTTGGCGCTAATCTCATCATCATCCTACTGCCGGTCTATCAGCAAGATTTTCAGCATACTCCTTCAGGGAAGATCGGACAGCAGAAATTTCGAAATACGGCATATTAAACCAATGAAGGATGAAATGCCCGGAATTATCGATATTAGGGTGAATGAACAGATGACTATTCGGGGACCATCGTACATGATCAGGATGCGAAGGTTGAACAACAGACAGTATCAGAGACTTCCATATTATGCGAGTTACGGAGCCAAGATGATATGGCAATGTTATTATACATTGATCGAAGTACTGGGAGCAGGAGGATAATCAAATTGATATGCCCAGCTGCAGACTATGATACCGTGGACTCTGTTGAATACATCCCTGAGACTGTGAAGTGAGTACACTTCATTTCGTAGGAGTTCAATTGCTGCTGCTGCTGCTCTCAGCTCGGACCCACATGAGTTCCAAATGATGATCCTGCAATACTTCATAGATCATATGAAGTTTGCTGCCATTGACGATGAGAATCAGAGCAGTGCATGTCGTGAAACCTTCCAAAAGTTGTTCGATGTTCATGCTTCCCCTCTTGTCAAGACGACGACAGCTCCCATCACTGAGAGTCTTTCCCAAGACGAAGACCGAACCAGCGCAAACTCTACTGCTGAGAGCTCGGAGATTGAGGCGGCTCCGCTCAGGCGATTGAACTACGAGTTTTGCGACGCTGCTCGTGATGCTGAAACCTTACCGGAAGATCTAGAAACAAGTACATATTCTAAAGATGTGAGTGTCAACCTCCACACCAAGTGAGATTAATGCGACACCTCAGGGCTGGAAGGTTGATCAAGTCGTCGACAGAGATCGTGGACGAATGAAGTGTACGGTATCAAGAAAACGGGGATGGCTTGGATACCATTCCAGGAAGGTGGAGATCATCACAGCTGATGATGCAGTAAAAAGCGCCATCGTCCGAGGAAAGGAGAGAGAACCCGTTGAGTGAGATCAATTATCGTCATTCACTAGAGGGATTTATATATACATTGAGTATATTTACATATATATCCCTTTGAAATTCAAAGATACCATTGAAAAGCGCTCGCCAAGATCTTTCTAATGAGCTATGTATCTCTCACTAGGAAATTCGGTGAATTCGTCAAGTTACAGACAATAGCACTTTTCATTTGAGGCACCCTGTAATATCGAATGACATAAGTGCGAAGGTTCCTAACATGCGGGTTTCATCGATTCACTCAGTGCCAGAATAAAAAGGAATAATCCAAAATGTTAGCATTGACGCGTTCTGTGGACTGTTCTGTGCGACTCATACAGTGTGAAACTCCCCTCCAAAACGCTTCCGAGTATCTTCAAGTGTAGCCACCACATCTCTCGTTAAATGATCAGGTTGAGCGACTTCATAGCGACTTCGAATGTTCCGAGAGACCGATACATGACTTGTGAAGAGCTCATCAACAGCATATATCGAGGGCTCCCGAAGGAAGTTG